ATCAGCCGGACATGGTAGCGCGCACCTGTAGTTCCTACTACTTGGAAGGCTGAAGCAGAAGGATCGCCAGAGCCCAGCAGGTCGAGGCTGCGGTGGCCGGGAGCGTGCCACTGCACTCCAGTCTGGGTGACAGAGTGAGCCTCCAACTCAAAAAAAAAAAAAAAGAAAAAAAATTTCAAGTCTTTGAAATGTTTAGCAAATGATACATTTTGTAGAATTAGTTACGTGTTCAGGTTAAGTATTTTAAAAGATAATTATCTTTCACCTTTAAGTCCCCACTGTTGCAGCTATTCTTATTATTCCTAATTTTGCACTTGATTGTCAGCAATTCCAGCCACTGAGCTGATGAATTCCATTTATTCCTTCCAATGTTCTCCCTCTACTGGAATACTGATGTATTAATAGTAAACTGTAAGGTATTTCACAGAAGGGGCACAGTTAATACCTATGTTGCCTCTTATGCAGAATAACCCCCCGGCTCTCTTTGGAGAAGAAAGAAGGAAGGGGAAAGGAATGGTCAGAAAAGTAAGAGGGTATGAACAAAGGCTTAGCCAATTTTAGGAGGACATAAAGAAACCAAAGCCAATGCATTCCTAATTTAGTGGATCTGAGTTTCTTTTTACTCAAATGACTTCAGTCCTTTGGGGTTAATAATGGAGAATTTCTGTTACCAACCCTGTAATTTGCACAGATAACTGTACGGTAGTTAATGGTTTTCAGGTTTATTAAAATGTTGTCTTGGGACTGGTGGTTTTTTCCAAATAAAAAGGCTTGTGTGGGGTCTTGCATCTTAGAAAAATTTGGCATAGTTTCAGCCTTTTTTACATTAAACTGGATTTAAAGACTAGAAAGGTCAACTTTTTTTTTGGACATTGTAATGCCTTTGAACAAAGCATTTTATGAGTGAATCTGCTGTGCAAAGAATCCTTTTTGTAAAAAGAGACCTTGTTACCCTTGGCACCTACAGGGAACATCCCTAAATTTGGATGGTGAAATAAGACCATTCCTTAAATACATCCTTGGGAGGGATGAAATGCTCAGAATTTGGCAGCATTTCACTTCTGACAGCTCAGATGTTCTTAAGCCATATACAATCTAATTGGTGGTGACAGCTTTCTCCATAAAAGCATTTTGATGAATTAAATTTTCTCCCTAAATCTTACTTTTCTCATATCCTCAGTGAATATCTATCTTGTGTTCATCCTCGTGTCTAGTAGAGTGCCTGGTATGTGGTAGGCAATCAGGAACTGTTTGATAAATTGAATACCCCTATCTCAAACCTTATAAAACATACATCATTTCAGTGTACAGATAGTGAAGTTTCCCAGAGTTAAAAGACATCATCAGAAATACACTGGCAGAATACGAGGCACACTACTACATTAAAATAAAATATTAAATGAATTTAAGGTATATTGGCTATTTTCTTTTTATCTTCTTTGGGTTTGGAAGGAGTAATATGTAGGCAAGATGTCAACAAATTATTTATTATGGCTGACAGATAAAACGATGCATTTGGGTTTTTGTTGTACCCTTGTTTATACGGTGTTCTTTGCATAATGAACACTTTGAAATTTGCCAAAATTTGAATATTAGATGTACTTTCTCAGCTTGCAGTTTTGACTTTTGTTGATGATTCATTCTAACTTTTAGGAAATCCAAAACTATGGATATCAGAATTTGTCATTTCTAGAAGGAGCTGGGACGTTTTGTTTTTAATGGGTTAGGAAAGAGTATGGTAATAAATGCATTGGCTGCAGCAAAAGAGAATTAATTGGAAAGATACCAGGAATTGCCTGTCCCACACCCTCTTCAATTTGGTAGTAACTTTCTTAGACAAGGGTTGAACTGAATTGTACAGTTTGATGTAAGGCACTTATTTAGTGTTCACTTGTGAGATACATCCAGGAATGTCTGGCACCTAGTAGATACTCAATAATTGATAGCGGCTATTGGTTTATTATTTATCTCCCTTAAAAACTATCATAATGCCAACAGGATACTTAGTATTTTTCATTTTAAGCCCTATTGTCTTTTCTTTATTAAACCAATTAAAAACTTTTGCAAGAATAAAAAAAAGAGTTATCAGGAAAGAATTACTGTGGGAGCTTTTCTGTCCTCTCAATAAATCCTGCTTTCCAAACAAAAAATAGAAGGAATTAGGACAGAAGTTGAAGTATTGTAAATTGTTATGTTGATCCCCATTGGCTAAAAGTCATATTAGTGAATTGTGAAATATTTTCACGTGTAAAAACAGGGAAATCAAGCAATGTCTTAATTGAAGACAATGAAGTGGGGCTGTACTTCATGTTTAACTCTCCTTATTTTTGTTCTCACTCAGTACTTTCAGAAATCCAAAGAGCTGTACTCAACAAGTGAGTTCCCGTTGTTATATACATGGCTGGGTGGCCCTGAGCTTTTTTTTTCCAGTGGCAGCTCCAAATGCCATTAAAATCCAAATTTTTATTTATCTTAAATACAGAATTTAAAAATTCAAAATAATAAATTGTATACTTTAGGAAAACAGAGAGGTTGAATGTTTTCATGTAATTATTCAGATTTTGCAGTGATTCAGAATGAATGAAAAATTCAAAATCTGCACTAGCGACATCCAAGCTGTGTTGAAAGTGGAAGGAACCTTGTTATTTTCAAGGGAATTAAGTGTTCTACCCATGCATTTTTATCACTGGTGTTCTAATGTAGGAAGCTAAAGCTTTAGAAATTATTTTTAAAAATTAAATATTTCCAGTCATTTCAACCATTTTTGGTTATATGGATAAGGAAAGGAAGAATCCATATTTCACTTTTTAGACTTGTTTGTATACAATTCAGGAAAAATTACATACTTATTTCTAAAATTAAAATTCGCTTGTGTGTATAAAAACTTTTAAATTTTGAACCCCAAACTAACCCTCTTGAATTGCAATGGCGTTTCTTTATCAATTTTTACTTATTTAAATATTTTTGTGTTTCTACAAGTTAGATTTTTTTTTTTTTTTT